TAATTAAGCTTCTGCCTTCTGGCACTAAATATTCGACTTTTGTGGTATCATGCACTTTTGACATCTTAACAGAGCGAAATTTTGCGTAAAATTTCATAAAAAACTTGTCTTTTTCGATACTTTTAATAAGCAATCCATGAATTTTGTCGGATTTCATCGGAATTCTTTTGTTTTTGAATAGGTCTGTTTGTCACAAAAAAAACTAGTTTTTTCTTCAAACATCGTGAAATTTCTTATACGAACATATTGAAAAATCTAACAAAAAACGGGAAAAACTCGGGTCAGCTGTCAATCAGATACCGTTTCCCAGTTTGATGAATCGACCTGCTCTTTAGGCAACGATGCGCACTAGAGACCGAAGTGGTCTACTAAAAATGGGATAAGCAAGTAATGAGCCAATCTCAGAACGTTTTTGGTAAGAGCTGCTGCGATAGTTGGAAAATGCGAAGTAATTACAAAGTCAGACTAAGTTTGAACTTAAGGCCATAGGTCATGATGTAGAAAAGCCCCAAAACTGATTTTCGTATTTTCTGCCTCGTTTTTCTCAATCTACCAGAGTTCTCAGCTGGTTGTCTTTCTGGTAAAATTTTATACGAAGTCGGGGAGTACCACTCGTTAATGAGCAACATTCAACCGACTGACGTCAGATATAAGTGGTATATAAAAATTTAATAGAATTAAATTTTATTACCCTTTGTCCGCTCGAGCCATTAATTCCTGGTGCTCCTGGCCGACCGGGCGTCCCGGCTTTTCCTGGATTGCCCTGATAATTGAACCATTTGGATTAAAAACAACTACTAATGTTTATAATTTTAAAAACACACTTGAAAGAAATTCATTTGTCTACAGCAGAAGATATGGTATCCACCTGTATTTTTCTCCTAACAGTTTTACTTTTCAAGTAATTTTTGCACAACTAATATGTGTTTGCTGACGAGTATGGTGGGTTGCTAGTCTCTGTGGTGGTTCCCGCGACAATAATTTTATCCGCCAAAAATTTTTGCGGGCCGTACATTTTACCCACGGGCAGGGGAAAGCTGTATTTAAATTTTCTGGGTAGCGCGTGGGTAGGGGATATGCCCACAAGATTTCAATCTTCTAGCTTCCGTGGTTCCTATGATAACTTTATCCGCCCAAATTTTCACTGGGCTGTATCTGTTACCTGCGGGTACGGGGAGGCTTAATTTAAATTTGCGGGGTCACACGAGAGTGGGGAACACTATACTAAAATTTCAGCTGCTTACTTTTGTGGTTCCTGGATTGAAAGCTGCGGACAAGTTGCTGCGGACACACACACACACAAACACACAGAGACAACCTCGTGGCAATATGCGTTTTGTACTGCTGCTACACTGTACAAAACGCATTAAAAGGAACTGAAAATCGTTAAAGTCAATTAAAAGTTACGAACCTGTGGACCTGGAGGCCCTTGCAGTCCATCTTGCCCGTCATCTCCATTCGGCCCGTCAGGACCTGGTCGACCTGGTGCACCACGTTGTCCAGGCATTCCCTTCCTGCCAGGCATGTCGTGGACTTCACCGGGTGCGCCTTTTCGTCCCTTCACGCCGGGGCTGCCCCGGACTCCAGGTCTTCCAGCTGGACCAGCCGGTCCGGGCAGTCCTAAAGTAGTGAATGTTGTAGTTCAGTGGTACTGTAACAGTAATATACTAATAAGTAGAGCGTGTAAAGTGATGCTATAGCGTAAAACAGTTCGCACGTTTTTTTGTGGTTTAGTAGTAACCGCTTCTCTGGTACTTATCCTCGATTAGGTTTTTACTGGTTTGAAAGAATAAACGTGCAGAGTTTCATGGAGCATGAAAATCTGAAAATCAAAACTCCTTCCGTATTCACTCCGTATAAAAAGTAGAGGCATTCAAAAACGGCATTACTTGTCACAGGCTATC